AAAGGTAATGCCATTTAATATGAGTCACAGTGGTATCGTTAATTTAGAACAAATAATCTACTACGGAAAAATATAATGAATAAATTCGTTTATTAGTTAACTCAAATCATTAATGCATGTTGAATCCACTTTGGGTTCCAATTTCTTAGGCCCTTCATAACTTACTGGGCACAGGCACATATATAGCCTGCTCGAAGGAACTTATTATGTGGTTTCTCTGGTAGAACTTTGATTTGTCTGAACCTCTAGTTCCACAATATGTGTTATTAGTAATATAGCTGCTTTTTTTATGCACAGGTGATACATTATGAACTTCCAAATTCCTCGGAAATTTTTGTCCATCGATCTGGACGAACAGGTCGTGCTGGGAAGAAAGGTACCGCAATTCTTATGTATTCAACCCACGAACATCGGGACGTTAAAGGAATCGAACGTGATGTAGGATGCCGATTCAATGAGGTGAGCTACAATCTTAAAAGTTGTTTAAGATGTGATGGTTTATGAAACTGTTTGCTACACGTCTATCATTTTTCTTGTTTTGTGTTATGTTTATCTGAACTGAACTTTTTCGGAACTTGCCTGTGTGTAGCTCCCGAGGATAGCTGTTGAACCCGGGTCCTTGGACATGTATGGTGGCATTGGAGGGGGTGGTCGATTTGGTTCTGGTGGAAGGATGGGAGGTGGCCGTTTTGGTGATTCCGGTTTTGGACGTTCGGGTGGTTTTGGGCGCTCGGGTGGATTTGGTGATTCTGGATTTGGACGCTCGGGTGGTTATGGAGGTTCAGGTGGTGGTAGGTCGGGTGGTTATGGCGGTCAATATGGGGGCCGCAGCTCGGGTGATGGTGGGTATGGAGAGCAGGGTTATAGCCGGTCGGGAGGGTTTGGTTCGGGCCTGGGTGGGCCCGCTAGGAACAGTGGATTTGGAGGTGGAGGTCGATCGAGTGGATTTGGCACTGGTGGTCGCTCGAGTGGTTTTGGGGTTTTTGGTTCTGGTGGATTTGGTAGTTCACAGTCTGGTCAAAGTTCCCATTCAACTCGCCGTGCCGGTTTTGGTGATGACAGTAAGCGTGACAAAAGGAGTTCGGGGACAGAATTTGATTTCTGAAGCTAGTGTAGGTGATTTTTATTTTACACCTTTCTATGGAATTGCTTGCTTTGTATTATTAATAATGTTGAAGTGCAGTTGTGACAACTTATTTATGTTCGTTCTTAACACCACTTGTCTATTGATTTTCTGCAATGTTTCTTCGGCAATTANAATCCATGAAAACTGATAAAATCCTATTATAAGGGGGGTGTATTCAATTCGGAATTTAAGTGACATTTTAAGACTTTTCGAGATTTGAGACTTTTTAGGATTTTCAGATTTTGGAAGAATTCTATGAAATCTCAAGTGCTAGGATTTGAAGTGGGATTTCATATAAGGTTTTTTGTTTAGAAATTCCACAAAATCTTAAAAAGTCTTAATAAATCCTAGTGTCAAAAAAATTAAATACCTCAAGATATTGTAAGACTTTTGAAAATCCGAATTGAATACCCCAAGATTTTTAAAAGTTTTAAAAAGTCTTAACAAATCTAAATTGAATACACCAAGATTTCTAAAGTCTTAAAAAGTCCTTAAAAATACTAATTAAATACTTTATGTTTGCCAAATTAAGATTGGTTGGTTGCATGAATGAAATGTTTTGGCGTAAGCACGTCTTATTGGCTTATATAGATTTTGAAGCTATTTGTCTGAACTCATGATAGGCATATCTATATATATATATATAATAAGATTACTATTTACCAAAAATAGTAAGCAGAAAAATTTGGCAACATTAATTGCATACTATTTTGGGCAAGTATTGTGTATTTTATTTATTAAATGAAAACATTTAAATATGTCTTTAATCACGGATACTTAATTAAGGTAACCAAATTGTTTAATTTTGGTACAAATAATGCTTTTAAAAATTTGAGTTTTATTTCAATACTAATTCTTTTTAAAATTAATTGCTATCAACATTCATTAATTTGGGAAATAAAACTTGCAAGTTCATAACCCCTAATAATTGTGTGCAATTCATCAAAATCAATGATATCACATAATTAATTGTCAGATTTGTATGTTTTCAGCTGAGTTGAGTTTTAAAAGAAAAATATCATTTGAATGTCAAAAAGTTTTGTGTAACAAAATAAATTTGCCGATCAAAAAATAACAAATCTACCGACACATACTCAAATTCTAAGAGTTCTTTCGACTAATCGTAAACACCCAAAAAAATCCGAACATAAAAGTACAAAAATTGAACATAAAAACCTTAAAATTAAAAATTCCACATTTTTTTTCAGGCAAAACAACTAAAATTAGCAAAATCTACCGGCGCACACCCAAATTATAAGGATTCTTTTGATTAATTGTAAAAACCAAAAAATTCGAACATAAAACTATAAAAATCGAAAATAAAAACCCTCAAGTTACAATCCATATTTTGTTTCGTGCAAAACACCTAAAATTAATTTAAAGTATCGATTAAATGAAAACTAAAAGAGAATATGTATTTATAAGGCCCTCAGTGTTAGAACGGAAAAGTTGGAAGATCGATGAAAAAAGACGAAAGAAGAAGCTGGAAGCGGCAAAAAATGAAGGAATAAATGAAGCCCTTGGTCCGATAATTTCACTATTTATACTATGTTCAGTGTTATCTAAACTGTCGATTTCCGTTGACTAATCTGGATCATTGAATTATTTTTTCTGTTTTGTTTAGGCCGATATGAACTTTCGAAGCCAACATTGTAAATTGGGCCGATATGAATTTTTTGAAGCCAACATTTTTCAAAAACATTCTTATTTTACAAGCCTAATATGATTAATATAAATCATTATGCGTATCTTATAATAAGTATTTGTTAAGTTTAATTATAATCAATGATCGATACTTTATTATATAATTCGAATTTAAATACAAAATTGCCTTTTAAAAAGGACGAAAATAATAAAGCCCCGTGCATCGCACGGGTACTGTACTAGTTTGTTGTTATCAGGAACATCAGAAATTCAGTGTGGAAACTAGAAATGATATATTAAGCCATTGGTTTGTTTTGAATTTTGACCTTCTTTGATCAAATATTTTTAGTAAGAAGAAGAGTGTAATATTTTTGCTCCAACTTTTGGTCGAATAAAAGTGTACGTACATTTGCTTCTTACAAGTGGCCCCTACATATCCGTTCAAGCAGTGAACGCGTGTTCAGCTGCAATTTGTTTATTTTTCTTTATTTTATTTTATATCAATTATTTATTCATATTATTTTTTCTTTTTGATACTAATTTATTTTTTATCAACATCATACTTTCTAATATTAATAAATTTAAATTTCATTTATATCACACCTTCCAATATGTGTCTTTTTTATACACATAATACATATTTAATTTGTAAACATTATGTTACAATAATCCATCTTTGTTCATAACATATTCGATGAATAACTTGGCGATGGATTTCGCCATGTAGGGATGCGTAAGGGGTATGAAGTGTGCATATTTCGTAAGTCGATCCACAACGACCATGACTCCATTGAACCCATTAGAGATCGACAGCCCTTCGATGAAGTCCACAGTGATGTCTTCCTCGATCCTCTCGGACACCGGCAAGGGTTGCAGTAGACCACCCGATCGCCGTGCATTAGCCATAGTGCGCTGGCACTCGTCGCAGCGTGCGACATATTCCCGAACCGCGCCCTGCTGCCCTGGCCAAAAAAAGGTATTGGCCATCCTCATCCATGTATGGTAGAGTCTCGAGTGCCCTCCGATCCTAGAGTCATGGAAGTGCTGCATAATCCTCTCACAGAATTCCCCACTATTAGGCACATACACCCGGCCTCGGTGAAGTAGTAGGCCGTTGTGCTGCTCATAGTCGGCAGCGGTAGCATCACTTGCCTCAACCCCTCGACGCAAGTCTTGGCATTGGGAGTCGTCTTCTTGCGCCTTTCTAACTTCTTCCCATATGGCCCATGTGTGCAGTAGTGAAATGTTTAAATATTAATGACATGATTGGTATGATGGAATGGAATTTCGTAGGAATGGAATGAATTAAAGAATGGAATGATTATGGGAATGGAATGAAACATGTTTTGTCATTCATGCGTTTGGTATGCAGAAGGAATAGGACTAGAATGGAATGACATTACCATTTTTTATTATAAAAATAAATAAAAGTTTTTTTTAAAAAATAGTATACTTTTAATAAATTATATATAAATGCTTTTTTAATAATATATAAAAATAAAATAACATATTTTAAATAATATATAAAAATAGAATAATATATTGTTTAATAATATAAAAATAATATATGTTGTTGTCTAGAATTAACAACGTCAATTTAAATACAGTTGATGTTGAAAAGTAGAAATAATTGTAGAATTTGATTTTATTTGATAATCACAAGAGTACAGAAGTCGGTTTAATTGTTGAAAACCGAGTTCATCTAAGGCTCATGTACAATGTGTTCAAAAAAGATCCTCGTACTATCATAAATTCTGCTATTTATAGTACGGTAATTTTTGTCTTCTTGCTCGAAATGGATAAAGATACATTTAATGTTGAGCTGCTTCACTTTAAGCCGTGGAAAACATCAATGATTGCTTTTCCCTTTTGTTGGTCCAATCAGATGCTTCCAGCTTTGTTCTTCCAGCTTTGTTTTCTGTTAGAATATTTGGACTTTGCGATAGTCGGTTTGGACTGGAGTCGGTTTACGTGCATTTGTTTCAAATGTCGGTTCTTTTGAAGATCTTCGGAAGTCGGTAATTAATTCTAATTAATGCCGACTTATTTTAAGTTTTGTCTTCTTCTGAAAAATTATCTCTTCAATGAAGTAGTTAATCTCCGTCTTCAATTTTGTAATCAAGTCGGATATCAACAATATAGTTTTAATAATATTTAAAAATAAATAATATATTTTTAAATTTTATATAAAAAATAAAATATTCTTAAAACTAATATATTTTTGATATATAAAAAATAATATATTTTTAATAATATTTAAAAATAAAAAGTAATATATATTTAATAATATATATTTTATTTTTTAATTAAACAGTAAATAAAAGTAAGTTTTCAATTTTTTATGTGAATTTTATTTTTTAAAGTACTATATTTTTAATAATATATATTTTTAATATTTTTCAATAATATATTTTTAAAAGTAATATATTTTTAATATATAAAAAATAATATATTTTTAATAATATATAAAAATAAAATAATATATTTTTTAGATTATATATAAATAATTTTTTTAGTTTTATTTTTATATAAGTATTTAATATATCTAATTAAAAAATAAATAAGGTAAGTTTTCAATTTTTTTATTTGAATTTTTGTTTAAAATAATTTTATTTAATATATTTTAATCATGATTTATAGTATATATTATATATTTATTTTTTATTATTATTTATTAATTTTATTTTTTAATAAATTGATTCCTACACACAAGGGAATGAGAAAACTCTCCATTTACTATTGAATGGTTAATCCCATGGAGATGGGTTTTGCCATTCCCCTTGGAATGGTCATTCCTTCTCAAAAAATATACCAGTTATGGGATAAGGAATGAGTAAAAGAATGATCATTTCATTCCTACGTCATTCCATCATACCAATCATGCCATAATAGTTATATATAAAATAAAGTTTTAGAAAAAAAATTTAAAGAACAAACGCGACACGGGAGGTACACTAGTTGGTACATAATAATGCTAGGTAGACCCACTCGGCCACGATCCAAACCCGTTTTGGATTTTGGACACAAAACCTTGAAAACCTATCAATTCTTTCGCCATATCCATCAGTCTACCTAATCCTTCCCGAAAGAACGAGGTAAAAATCAGCTCTCTCTCTCTATCCGCCGCCGTCGTGGCGGCTGAAAATTTCCGTCGAGTATTTTTCTTTTCCATCTCATCCTCTTTAATTTTAACTGTTTAATACTCTTTTAAGCCACCGCGCGCCTATGCCCGGTTTTGGACCCCTCTGAGGTCCGCCGTTCATCGATTGTGAAGGCGAATGTCTGGGAATTTAGAAAGCTGGCGGTAAACGCCGTCGCACCACACGATCTCACCATCTGCGGCCTGATCTCCCGCAAATCCGTTGCCTTTTACCTCCGCCGAGGACGTCGTATGCTACGACCGAGACAAATCGCGATGAAAATATCTATTTTTATTTTTATTTTTTATGTTATTAAGGTCTTTTGAGTTTGAATAAATATTTCTGAAAAAGGTTGTTTCTTCTCGGTTTGCTCTCCTCTCTGTTTCGTTGCATTCTGTGGTTTAATGAATCATTATACTTTCAGATTGGCTTGTAAAGGTTTGTGAAATTGTCCACCCACCTCTACACACCTTTGGCACTGTATTTTTAGCTCTTTAATTACAGTTTTATATCTGTTTCAGGAATCATCTTTAATTACAGGTTTATCTCTGTTTCAGGAATCCAGAAACATGGCGAATCAGCCCATACATGTTGTTGCCAGGTTGTAATATATTCTCCACATGTTTCATAACTCTTTTTTTCCTTTGTTGATATCCTATTGTGATCCATACTTCAATTGTCTTGTTAATTTGATCTGTGCTTCTTTGGTGTAGGACATCTACCCCAATCATCTCCTTCGTGCGTAGTAAGTTTGGTTGTTAGTTGTGTCTGTTTGTGTTTGTATTTGTATTTGCTCGTTGTTAATTTAGTTTATTTTTCATCTTCTTTGATGCTCTGTAGGAAATGTTGGTCCGTGCTTTGGAGTGTCTGTTGCTGGTATTTGCTGCTTTATGTACAGGTGAGTGAGAGTAGTTTTGTAAACATGACCTTTTAGTAGTTAGTCCCTTTGTTCGTCTTGCTTTTCCATTTTTCATAGTCACATCATCAGCCCATTCTTTTGTTGTGACTAATTTTCTCTATTTCTTTATTTCCCTGGATCGCGTTATGAGTACAGCATGGATTTTGATGGCCGTTGGTATGTAATCTTATCCAACCTCATCTAAATTATTTGCCACCCTTGTATGGTTGGAAGTTGATTTCCGATTCTATATGTGAACTCATTTCGTATTCATTTTCCTGCTCTCTCTCATTAACCTCCAAGAATATTAAGTAAGAGTTCTCTCATTACAGGGAACGAAGAAATTCAGAAGCTAAAAATGAGATGTGAGTCAATGTCATTGTGCCTTCCGTTTACTTTTCATGAAAATATTTCTTACAGTCATTGTGCCTTCCGTTTACTTTTCATGAAAATATTTCTCACATTTTTTTAGGTGAAATTGTGTTGATCTTGTTGACACTCATTCAATGAAATTATAAAGTTATCATGTTATTGTTATTATTGCAGAAAGAGGACGTCAGAAAAACTGTCCTCCCTCAGGAAAAAAAGGTCGACTTTAGCTTTGAATGTTTGGATGATATAATTCGTCTTGGACATCCTTAATAGTTGGCTTGAATTGTTTGTTATTTGTCGACTCATGTCGGTTAATAAATTATTGGCAGGACGGAATTGGAGGCCGGTATTGAGAGGTATGTCTGCAGTTCCTTATCATTTTTACATGTTTTTTTGCCGCACTTTATTTCTGTTGTTGGGATAACTTGGGGGGCTAGAACCTGTTAGATTTGTTATTTGGAAGTGTATGATTTGTTATTTTCACTACTGCTATGTTGGCTGCTTTTGCCCTTAAACTAGGCAACTGAACCTGAACCTCGAATACGATAGATTTTTTTTTTTTTTTTTTTTAACAAATTTGTCAACTCTAAGCAAGCATGAGTATTCACATGAGAGCAACGTGGTCAGAAATCCAGTCCATTGAAAATTTATGTTGATATTGAAATGATGTGCTATATAATGTCCTGTACTATGATGAAAATCTTGGATTGTCATTGGTACTTCTTATCATTATTATGTTAGTGCTGACGCATGAGACTTCTTTATGTGCAATTTAGGTTACAAGCCAAAATCAGGAAGGGTGGGGAAACAGGAATGGTGGGGAAAGAAAGTGGGAGGTATGAAGCTCGGGGTTGGTTTGGATAAGAGTTCTTTATCATGGGGTATGAAAATATTTAGTATGTACCATCTCTACTAATTCTATCTTATGTGTTGGCCTAATGATTTGATCTTTAAACATTTGGATCATTGTATTTTCCTTTCTGGAACGCACATTTGCCAGTTTGTCTTACTTTAGTTATGGACCTTTTTATATGCATATATTATTGTTTTTCTCTAGATGTTGCTCAGCATTTTCCACAATAGATGTTTGCCATAATCCGTGTTGTCCACTTGTCCTTGCTGTTATAATTGAAATGCGAACGTTGAAATGAAGTTCGGTGGTTGTCTGTTGCCCTGGCTAGGTTGGTTGTTACTTATTGCTTGGTTATGTTCCTTTGTTCTTTTTTGGCTCGTTATTTTTCAAATTTATTTTAGTCATCATTTGACTTGAAAAATATTATGATATTAGAAGGGATAATTTATAGTGTGTGTGTTTCTTTTGGATCCACATTTAGAAGGTCCAATAAGTTCATGTATTCTTGTGGCTTAAGGACGCATGGCCTAATATCCCATCTTATCTCCCCTACCAAATGAGGCCTAAAATATTACTTAAGAATTTGAGATTGTCCTCGTGTGGGAGTTCGGGCCTATGTAATGAAACGATGAGACTACACTACCTAAAACATGACAACAGTATGAAATAAAACATTTTTGCTAATTTTGGGTTTGCATCAATCATATTTATATGATAAATAGATAGCACAAAAATGTAATAGCGCGGAATACAAACACAAAAATGTAAAACATCAATCAATAATCATATAATCATGTAAATGTCCGCTAGGACCACGAAACTCCACTAATACAAAATCCAACTGACCACCAAATTCAATATGCAAAATTACTTCGATATAGAAACTAACTAATGCAATAGATGTTCTTGGCTCTTACGAGTCAATTATTATCCCACAAGGCGAACACTGATTCAACTAGTTCTCTTGAATGGGATAATTTATCATTCTTTTTTTTTTTTTTTAATTATTTCTTCAATCCAAACACAATCTATTCTCTAAATTAATTGACAAAATGTCTTGTAGAGAAAGAGCTTCATAAATGAGACTATGTGAGGAAGATAATATCGAGGTTGAGTATCTTAAAATAAACTATACTCCATTACTGGGCCCACCGGACCCTCATTTTTGCACAAGAATCCTACATTTTGTCATTCTGCATCCTGACCTTTTTCTTGTAAAAAAACGTAGAGAGCTGGAAACACACCAAATTTATGATCCAACCAATATTTTTTATTAGATGAGAGTGTAATAAGCGCCAGCCGTCAGAAACTATCCATGGTAATTTCATTGGCCGCAGGAATATTTGTGCTTGCATTGAAAGGAGAGTATCATCTGCAGTGTTTTTCTGCGTGGACCCAACACCGAATGTGAATTCTCGTGGGGGGACTTCGAATGAGGCCCAGGAAAATATTGAAACGCAACCGGTATTTTTATTAATAACCTTGGACTTGAGGTGGAAGTTCATTCAGCCTCGAGAACCCAAAGCTAAGAGACGGCGTACTCAAAAAAAAAAAGCTATAGTGTTGTTCTCAGCTGCACCAACGAATATTTTTTGCTCGTACTCTTCAGCAATATGGAAGAAAAGACACACGAACAAAAATAGTTTAGCTTAAGTTTTTAGAGGATTCCCCCATTATATCCATTTTGTACATAGCAATGATTAATAAATTTGTGAGGTTCCAAATTAACAAGGAAAAGAATTGATGCAATAAAAGTTATTTCTGAGTTTGCAAATTTCAAATGCATGTCAAACATTACATTACACAATATAAAACTCTTCAAATTTGTTACAAAACCAAAACACAACTTTTAAATGGTAGGCACTATGTGATGAAGAATAGTGAAGTCTCACCTAAAAACTGAATCACTTCATCAAACCGCAGTTTTAGATCACCGTTGGAAAGCAAAATTGTCCTCGGGCAAGGTTGTGGGCGGTTGAGAAGGTGTGGAGAGTTATTTCCATAATAATAGAAAATCAGTTTTGGCCAATATCTACAAAATTACCAATAACAAGAAACACCCAAACCAGCAGCACCACCGAGGCTCGAGAAGTAGATCGGATAAATCTTTGCAGAGAAGATCGTAAGACTGAAGAACTGAGGGGTAGAAGTGCACAGAGTTCTGACCTATTTCTATTGCTCAAGTTTTAAGATATACAACACCACTGCACTTTGATCACATGAAAATTAAAAAACAAGGGCATTTTCGTAACTCACATCTGGACATGTGTCTAGAAGGGTACATGGATTTACTTATGTGTGGGAGGGAGATGTGGATATTGAGAGGAAGAGAATGAAACACGTGATGCTTCAAGGTCACACGATTACGCATATAAAGCCACCAGTAATAGTTTTATACTCCAAATTAAAAACATTCCACAAAACATTCTCTACAACTGATAAAATTGACTACCACAAAACATTCACAGCTTATTTCCTGCTCTTCATCATTTCATTTCTGCCTGTAACCTGAGTTGCACATAACACAGCTCATGTCAAAAGCCGGATAAGATAAAACATACTACAACTGGTTAATTGAAACTTGAGTACTAAAAGCAAAAAGTAAGCGATGCCTTGCTACTAAAACAGATTTTTCTCCCCATAAATATAACCAGCACATTCAACATCAACATAATTCTTTAGAACCAAAAACGGAACTGAGAAGATAAACACATGAATGCTAACTGAGATAGTTTTGCCAGACGTAAGATCTAAAAGTCGAGTATTTATTCAACACCTAAAAATAGAAAAACTAAAAAGACCAAAAGTCGAGGAAAAAAAAACAGAAAATCAGACTCTTCAAACCGTACAAACCTTAAATCATGCATCTGCTTCTCAAGGTCAAGGATAAGCATCCTGTCAATAATCATACACTAAAATGAGTCATTACGGCACCAAGTTTGCTTTCTTACCAAAGATAAGTAAAATTGAATAAAACAGAGTCGAAAGTAGGTATCAATCATATTTGTGCACAAAACGGATTTCAAATCACTAACAACTCATTTTTTACAATATGATGCAGCATGGAAAGGAAAACAATATCATGTTGCCTGGATAATTGAATTTCCACCAATTTTAAAGCAACATCTTTCCTTGGTTGTAACTTGGAATAAAGGATTTAGTGATGCAACCCAAAAAACGATAGCATTTCCTTTAAAACTGAAATTCAGTAACATTTCAGGGAACACCACAACGCAAATAACTCAAGAGCCCAACACGTGCTTACGAATTTCATAATAAACCTATTCACAATGCCCTAATTTTTATTTCTTTCATGTCTGACAGTTAATTTAGCATCCCTCGGAAGCAGTATACAAGCTGCAAAACAGGATCAATAGGCGTCCAAACATTGTTCCTTACCCCATGATTAAATCCAATATAAACCATAAGAGAGTATCAAAAAACATAACCAAAAAAGGGCAATATCTTAATCATGTAGATTCTATAAGCAACTCAAAGCACTTGGATAAAACATTGGCAACAGAAAACTAAAGAATCTTATAGGCCAAACCTTTCTTTCAGTACTTCAACATGCAGTTTGTTATTTTTTTTGTGAAAGCTCCTGCAACAAAATATTGTGATGGATAAAACAGACAGCAATAAGAGGAACATCTCAAACATCAAAAGGGGTCCATAACGAAAACTGATTGAGGATTATTTTTAGAAAATTTGATGCAAAAGGTCAAGCTGATCTCATACTGATGGGATGCATTCTGCTAGCAATACATGTTCCGGAAGTATTATCTGTGTAGGCTGTCAGGTCCTCAGTAGTTTGAAAATAGTGGGTCCATTAACCAAATTTTAGTTAGGAAAGCATGAAGGGAGAAATTCCTTGTGCATTTGGGGATGCAGCAACAAAGAAACAACCCTAGAACACAAAACATCTCTAGACAGTTGGATTTATCGTGTGCAGACCCGTAAATGATGTTTAGTAATTTCAAATGGAACTACTTCAGGAGTCAAAAGTAAATTATTGAGGCATTTTATCTATTTTTCTAGAGATGCTGAAATAGTCGAAATTCGTGTATGTTCAACTGCAAACTGTATGCAACAACAGGACAAGAAGAACTGAGGAATGAGAGAACTTACGTGTCACCATAAAAAACCCTGTCATATCACAACCATTTTAGAGTCAGGTCCAAGTCCCAGCTTGTGTAGGGAGAATGATAGCCATAAAAGCATCAAACCATAGCAAGCAGATACTTACCAATCAGTTAAACCACAACAGATGCCAAATGCTAAGACAAGCTTGGTCACACCTCCAAAAGTCCACCCCTTGTCGATGTCTTCTCCCCTAAGAAATGCAGAGAGCACCCCAGTTCAGTTCATAGACAAAATTTAGTGCAAACAAAATCCCACATCAAAATTACAGGAAAAGAAACACACAAATATTACCCTTTGGTAGAGCAAAAACGACGCGAAGGTGTCCGAGAGATTGGTGCCTTCCTTGCAAATGCTGTGAGCCTGAATTGTGATAGGATCAATGAATTTAAACCTAATCTACCAATAAACATATAATAATCATAATAAAAACAACAACAACAACAACCACAACTACCTGATTGTCTGCCTCAACATCGACATCACTAAAGGCCTAGAGAAACCTGAAATATATAGAAAAATGTTAAAGCCGTACGAGGCTGAAAACGGAAACGCCAAGTATCGCCGGCTTCCTCAACTCCCCAACCTACGCCTTCGCCACCGCGGACCACAGAGAGGCCCAAAACGAGGCACAGGCGAGCGGTGGGGGAAAGAAGAGAGAGATATTCTTACCTATTTTCTTTATGTTGGGGGGAATGGTGCCTGGCTAAGCGATTTCCTAGGTTTTTATGGGTCGATGGTCCTCACCCGACAAATTATATTATTAATTTTTGTATTATTTTTTTATCGGTAATTAATCTTTGTTATTATTATTATTATTCTATGTCATATTAGATAATGATATATCTACCGTATATATATCTCACGTGTATATATATCCCCTCCCCCTACATATAATTAGTACAGAGCGTATATATATCCCCTCCGGCCCTCCCCCTACATATAATTAGTACAGAGCATGCACGAGGTACACAATTTTAAAACTATTTATACAGGCTTATAATTATATACATGAATAAAGAAAAATATACGGGATATATATAGTACGTGACCCACGAGATATATTTATTTGGAGAATATTATTTTATAAGATGCAATATTCAATAAAAGTTTATAATACGCAAGAAAATTGTACAATGTTCAATAAAAGTTTTATAATATTCAAGTGGAGTCTTAAAGTCTCTTGTACATTAAGACTACTGACAAAATAATATTTTAATCAATGAGTTTCCTTGCCTTATAGCCAAATTGTGAATGTGATTTGAGGAATCGATATATAGCTGACTTGCTTTTTTCATTATAGTTTTTTTTTATAATGAATTTCAAGATATTCTAAAATGTAGCAAAAATTATTTTTTTTATTACAATTAGGAATTTTACTAAATATAAACTGTCAATCTATGGTGTTAATCAACGTTTAAGTCTAAAAAATTAGAAATTTTTACCTCTTTTAATCAATGTTTAAGTCTAAAAATCAATAGAGTTATTATAAGTTTTTTTTTTCTACATCTTTTAAAACATTAAATATGAGCATGTTAGGGCTAACTTGTAAAATAATTAATATATTATCTCACTAAAATATTTATACTAATAAAAATTTAATTTTAGCATATAAATTTATTCATTGATATAAGAGAAAGTAACAGTTTTACTTATTGTTGTTCACCATATAATATTTAATTATTATTTTATTATATAATAAAAAAGAAATATTATTAAATAGTGTAGTAGAATTGTTATAAAATTATATGATTTTTTTTTTACAATATGGATTTAATATTTTTTTATGATTTGATATTATAAACAAATCTATACTTAACTTTGACAAATAAAACAAATAAATACTTTAGTAAGTATTTATTATATATACTAAATAGGAATATATTTGGTAAAATCAAATACCAAATTTAATCAAATAAGTCAAAGTGTACATTTTTATTTGGTATTTGATTTTTTTATTATTAAAATCTTTTTATTATACTTACCTTTTTAAATAAAATAAATAAATAAATCAATTAAATAAATAAAATATTATAATACCAAAATAGTAATGGCATTTAATGCAGTTGACTTTTCTGGATAGTAAATATAGTAAATAGAATCTCCTTTTATATAAGTATAGATTGTATAATACGGAAATAGTAATGCAATAAATGTTGTTGACTTTTCTTTATACTAAATCTGGTAAATGGCATACCTTTTAATATAAGTATAGATTTGATTAATTTTCGAAGGTGCTGAACCTAAGTGGCCGGCATGCTTCGAAATCCTAAGTGTCAAAATTTTATGTTTTGTTATTTGGCTTGAATATATTTTAATTGAATTCCAATCCAAAGCTAATTGAATGAGACACCGGGCTTCTATCTTCTTTTCTTTCATTCCCCTAGTCATTGGTCCAACCTTTGGATTCTTTGCATTCTGTCGGATTACCATAAATAAGTCGATTTATTTATGATCATTTTTTAAGTATTAATTGTATTTATGATTCTCAACCACCACCTCCCTCCACCCTCAGCCACCAGCCCCGCCTAGCCGACCCTCCGGCGGCCTCCCCGGCCCTCTGGCCTCGGAGTTTCTTTTCTCTCCCCTCCCCACCTCTTAGCTCACTGCTATGACGCCACCAAATCTCCCACTCCCGACAATCTCGCAACCCAGCCTCCAAGCTCCGGTCAGCCAATCGCCGGATCTTCTCAACCTTTTCAGATCCCAGAAGTCCAACAAATTTTTGCGACTCTTCTGGCCAGAAACTCGCGCTCGGATATCGTAAATATTCAAGCCATTGTCTCCACAAATCCGTGTAATCTCGACGGCAAAGTTTCAGATCCGCGACCAGCAGGTACCGAAGGTCCGGTAGCTCTTGGATCATTGCCGTCGGAAAAAATATTGTCGATCACCGAAAGCTCATCTCTTGATGAAGGTGCAACAGTCAACCCTAACCCCCAGCTCGATGCGATTCCAATCCCGTCTCACCAGGTGGAAATCCAAAATCTTGCATAATCTGGGTCCATTCCTAGGCCCAAAACCGCCCAATATCTTGTTGGGCCTAATTCAGCCAACCCACTCTCCACTCATACCCACACAACACCCTTAACACCATCCCATAATCAAGCCGCCCCCTCCGAGCCATCACAACCCCACCTCAAAGCCCACTCCTCCCAGCCCACTTCTCAGCCTGCCTCACAACCCATCGGCCCTCAGCCCACTTCACAATCTCAGGCCACCAACCAACCTATCCAATCTCCGATTTTACATCTCCTCCTTTACGGGCCCACTCCTCAGACCACTTGCACACAGTCCACACCCACACCTCAGCCCACTTCCAAGCCCAACACCACCATCTTACAGGCCGCCATCACCCAGCCCACCTCATCTCAGGCCGCCACCAACATCTCCTCCAAGCCCGATCATCACAACTCCCTAGCCGTCAACACGCAGACCTCCCCACAGACTGTCACCGTTGCCGACACCAACAGTCTACCGCTAGGCGGCGCCCACCTGACCTCCGCCGGCGCCGGCGACATCGCGACCTCCGAAAAAACAAAGCCGGCCGGCCCTCCATCCGAGGATGTCCCGGAGTTGATTACGGCTGGAATTCTCGGACCCCTGCCATCTTCACCTTCTCCGACGAAACAACCCGACGGAATAGCAAACACTGCGGGCCCAAGCAAGACGTCCGCGGCCAACTTTTCTGAACCCTCCCTGAACGGGACACCGCCGACGGGCCCCCCAACGGCCAACCCCACTGCACCCGGATCTCTTCCAGGCACTTCCACTGGCCCGCTCTCTTTCCGAGAGGCTATTACGGGGAAGAAAAATGACGGCACGAGCGTCCCTTCTCCGACGCCCAAGGACTTCACCTTTGACGGAGGATACGAGCATGCTTGCGGAATCATTATCCGCTCAAAGGAAAACAAGGTGAAGGCTCGATTCTCTCAAGCCGAATCTGAAGGCCTGGCCGGTAAGTTAGCTAACACCTTGGTTTTTAAGTTTACTTATGCTATCCCTGCCCCCCGAGATATATCTGCTGGATTAGGTAAAATGGGATTTAGGGGTAGAGAATTGTTCAAGTGGTATAACTTTAACCACCTCCTAGTCACTTTTCATCTCCCCGAGGACTACCACTAGATTTGGCTTAAGACCTCGATACATCTGTGTGGATGCCCAACTAGGGTGTTCAAGTATACTGTCGGGTGTAACCCGAAGATGGAGATGCCTGTTTTCCCCATATGGTGGCGTCTTCCCGGCCTCCCACCTCACCTTTACGACCGCGCTTCCATCACTACGCTTGCAAAGTGTATTGGACAACCGATTCGTATTGACGGCCCGACGGCCCTTCAGTCAAGGGCTAACGTGGCGCGATTTTATGTAGAGATAGACCTCAGAGTTGAGCCCGTCCATGAGATTGAGATTGAGCAGGGCTCGGAGACCTTTGCTCAGCGGGTGATCTATGAGAAGATCCCCGCGTTCTGCACTTTGTGCAGTCATGTGGGACATATTGCGGCTGATTGCTACACTAGTGGCAATAAGCCACGGCCCACTCTTCCGCAGCGCTACCGTGCTACTCAGCCGGGGCCCTCCACCGGCCGGAGGGACCCGAAGGGAAAGGGCAAAAGCCCTCTCTGTGCGTCCGAGACCCCAAAGGGGTCTAAGGATAAGGGGAAGGTTGTGATCGACGCCACTGCCCAAACTGGGAAGGATGTTCATCCTAACCAGCCTAAGCAGTTGGCCATAGTAGGGCCCAAGCCCAAGTCCACGGGCTTTCTTTCCAGACAGACCTTACAGTCGGCCTTCAAGGCCAACCACTCGTACTTTGCTATTCTCTCCACAGAGGCAGAGAATGAGGTTGTGCCTTCCACCAGTGGCCCACCTAGGATTACGGACCCTACGCTTCTTGATGATGACGACCTCCTTATTGACGATATGGACCGGCCGGACGCCTCGTCCAGGTATGAGTCCATCTACTTATCTGATGACAGTGCGCGCGATGCTGGTCCTTTGCCTGTGCATGCATCCAGCCCGGACCGATCTTAGGATTTGAGGGCCACTGCCGTCACCGCTCCCCCGAAAGGGGATGAGTCGACCCATCTCCTCCCTGTTGAGATTGGGAGCTCGGCTGAGCATATAGCCAGCCCCCATCCTTCTTCTGGCGGCGAGCACCTGAGTGCTCCACCTGCTGGATCCTCTCTTTCAACCATCCCCGAGCAGGCATGCGGTCTTAACCGCGCCTAGCATGACGTCTCGTGCGAGAGCTTCGCCTCTAGTGCCTTCGTTCACTACGACAGACAGGAGACAGCCCTGGAGATGGGACAACCCGCTAGTGCTGCTATAGGTCAGACTGCCCAGCGAGACGACACACAAGTCACGAGCACCTACCGAAGCCGGCAGTCCACGAGGACCAGAGCCACGCAGCGCACAACAAGACGGACTGTCTCCCCTGCTATTCGATCCTTTCGCCACATTCCTTCTTTAGGTGGCCCGACTCAGACTCGCCACAGGTGGACTATGTCCGGTGGCTCTTACGACCGTTGATATGTCTATCACATCCATAACTTGGAATGACCGTGGCCTGGTGAATAGGGCTACTCCCACTCACCTTCATTCTCTCATTCGTAATCCGTACCCTTCTTCGTTTCGG